ATTCTACGATAATTGTGAAAAATGAATAACTTTTCTTACTAGTTGTTGTAGAAGTCGTCGTCGTTTGTGCATCTCTTACAGCAACATAACAAACAAGTACAATAGCTGCAACTGCACTACATAACATAAATGCTGCCATAGTACCTAGAAGTATTTTAGCAATCAAAATCCGATTTGAAGAAGGTCTTGATGCAGTACGTCTGATAAAGAAAAACAGAAAAATTCAATTGTTGAAAGATGAAAACTACTTACTGCATTGATTGAATTGATCTGACATGATTTAAATTAGCATAATGTGGTTGATATGCGGGCATTATAATAAAGGAATTTATTAGACTCAAAACTCAAAGTTATAGACGAGTGCTAGTATAAAAAAAATGATTAAGATCAATTCTAAAGAATTCACCAACAGGCAACTGATGTTTTTTTGTGTAAACTGAAAGTAAGGTGCTAATAAGATTTCATCGTCTGCAACAATGAATTGCTTGTTGTTTTTGTTTCTTTTTTATGTATTATTATGTTACATAGTGAAATTTTTTTAATGGATTTAGAAGAGCATACATGTTTGAATGCTCACAGCAAAAACATCGAGAAAAAAGCAGACATTGTTTCAGGATAAATGAAGACATTGATCAAAATCAATTACCATTTTTTCAACAAAAAAAAAACATACTATCGTTTTCATCTCTTTTCTTTGAAAAAATAGAATGGTTGAAATGAAATCCGTACGGGAAGAACGTCAAACAAATATTGAGTACACGATTGTCCGCAAGTAAAGCAATCACATTTTGATAAATTTCAATTTTCATCTCGCTCAAACAAACAAGGGCAAATATTCGAATTCAGGGGATAGATGCATGATTCAATGTTCTGTAATGCCTATGAATTTCATTTGAATCGGCTGCATGATTAACATTACTGTAGATGTACAGTCAAAAATAATTTAGTAAGGTACTTACATATGTTATGGGCACTGATCATTATTAATAGCTTAAGCCGGCTGTGTACGAACTGTCAAACTCTGACAGACGTCGCTACCAATCTAACTTGTACATTCAGACTATTCTGAGATAGACAGCATTGGTGAGATTCCGAATTTTACCCGAACGCGATCGGATCTAGGCTTGGGTCTGAAGATTTCCTGTTCATCGAATACGATTATAGATCTGGAAATTTTCTTCTACGCGGGAGCTAGTCCTGATCTACTGGTCATTCCACATTTGCTACTCTAAAAAGAAAAGAGGCAATTACAACTTGCTTTGATGATAACACCGTCGAGCTTGTCTGAGAAACGTGAAGAGTGTGCTTTTTTAACGAATACAAATGATTGAGAAGACTATTTTGTATCATTGGAACAACTATTAGATACAGGTGAAAATAAGATTCATTGAGAGTACCAAAAATACGCTTCGGGTTCACGTTTCGTAAAATAAACTGAAAGTTCTATTTGTTAACATACTTACTTTAAATTACATGAAGCTTTTAACAGTTCACTCCCTCCTATCAGTCATGAAGTAGATTACAATGCCTTAGAAAAAAAAAATCCAGTTTCGCAGAATTACAATATACATAATATATTAAATTGTAACTATTTTATTATCTTTTTAAAATCTTTTGCACCGTTTCTTTCGACCATAGAAAAATAAAACATTGAACTACACTTAATGATCGAATAAAATGGCTTTACACGATAGCATGATTACTTTTTGGAGCAAGTCTAAGTTCTATTTTACTCATTTGTGTTGAGTGTTAGGTTGACAAGTCGAATAATGGATGAATTCATATAAAAGTTACAGCAACAGATAAACAAAATTGAATAGACTCAATGCACATCTGATAGAAATTTTGTGTCATTATCAGAATTCATAGGTGTTATAATTATATAAATAGTTTGAAAAATAAACAACATGATTCAAGGCATAATTCATTAAAAATTTCGAAAACACTTGGTAATAAAGATGTATCAATACTAATTAGTATGATTGATAGAGTGGTAATAGTAATATCAAGTAATAGGAATTTATCAGTTTTATTAGGAAGTAGACCGCTCATTCTAGCATTAGGAATGTTGATACTAGTGCTCCTTCATTTGAAAAAGAGAAGCAGGTTATGTGCCGTATTATGATTCCGGCACATAGTTGAGAAATAGTTAGTTTTGATTGATAGTCGTTTAAATGAGAGTGAAAAATTAACAAAAATTCGTTGATTGAATCCGACTCAAGTTTCATTTGAGAATCAAGTGCTGAATAATTTCTCTTAGAAATATTCAATTAAAAATTCAATGAAAACAAGACATTGGCAGATTATAATTTTATTCGTATTAACAAAACATTATGTAATGAATCGTCTTATTGATGAAAATTTCATAGTTTTTCAACGTTTACGTTGTTGATACATTGTATTTTTATATTTATGAAGTACAAAAGTAAACTTTGTTTTTTTTTTT